CTTGCTCCAAACACATTCTCCTCCCACACATTCAAGCTTAATTTCTTGTCATCGTGTTGACTCATTCTTACAGAGGTGGATATCTAATAACATAAAGCCAAGAAAGATATTTTCTTATCTGCAAAAAAAGTGCAGGAAGAAACAAATCATACCCATGGGTAAAACTGTATGATTGTAAAATGATGTGCAATGTACTCACGCAAAATACTGGATAATAAGTGTGGTTACAGATGAGTGTTGCTGCAATGCTCTTTTGGCAAGATTTTCAGATCTTGTTTGGCTGAGATGATTTAAAACATTCTGGTGACTCAAAAATTATGAAGATATGGGCTGAAGATATTTACAAAGCCTATGGAAAAGTATCCACCTCCTAAATCAATCAATGGCAATAATACAAAATATGAAATAAGTGATCTATATGCACCCGTTATAAAGTAACTGATCTTATTTAACAGACGTCCAAGCGGTCGGGGTTGGTAGTCTCACAATGAGTGGAATGGAGATCACCTGAACACAGTGAGTGTGACTCAAGTGATTGTGAAACAGAGACACATGTGTCTGGAAGGTCCATTCACTGGTCAATCAGTATTTGTGGAGACCATGACAGCATAAATACGAAAAAACAAGCCAACAATTCAGAGAAAAGGTTGATTTTAAGAAATATGTATAAGTCAGGGGATGGACACCCAAAAAAATTTATTAAATCTGTCATTAAGAAATAGATGCATTGCACCAATAGATACAATAAAGTAACCAAAAGTCGTTGTTAATCTCCAGTTCCAAATATATTTATATTGCTCACGTATTCTTTCTCAAGATGTTATTCCTGTCTCCTAACTTGATAAGGGAACATGGAAGGTGCAAACGTAGATCTGTGGATATTTTGTGATTTGTTGTTCACAAAGTATGAGCTGAACTGGGCAAGATAGCTTTCAGGTTTCTGTGTCTGGATTTTGGAAATTACACAAATTTGTATAAGTCACAAAAGCATTACATGATATGAAGTAACAAATTCCCTGACTCAGGAGGTCTCTCTTTCACTGTGATTGCCATTGGAAAGGGTACGAAACATTTTACTTGTTAGGAAACATTTAAGTAAATTAAGTAGACAAAAAAATGTGTAAATCATATACTAAAATTATGCACAGGTTTTATGGCTGATTCTGTGTGTAGCAGATAAAATTGCAGCCATTACAACAACCTAAGGGATTTTCAGTTGAGTTTAATCATAGACTCTATTAGTGATCATCTAAAACAGATCAATCTGAACTCTAAATCAATGCTTGGAATCCATTTAAAAGGTACTCAGTACTGAGTTACACAAGTTGATTTATATACATTCAGTGTATGGTATGTTGTTATCAATATGCTTAAGCAGGAAAAGTCCAAGAAAAAGTAAAGATGGAATAAGCAAGATCTTTTGGTTTAAAAAAAAAATAAATAAAAATAAAACAAAAGAAAAAAAAAAAACATTAAAACTAATGATGTTGTTTAAAGTTCAAATATCTTCTGAAGATAAATTACATCTCTGACAGCCAGTAATGCAACAGTTTCTTTAGTAATTAAATTTTATTTATGGATTATCACTCATAAAAAAGTACTGAGAGAAGATGCTTTATTGTAAAGTGCTGATGGATGTCTAGATTCTAGCTTTCCTCTGTGACTCATTCATGAAAGTTGGGAGGACCGTGACATGTGTCCTGTTGATGTGCCAGACTTAGCAGGCGTGAATAATGTCTGGCTGATGATGTGAAACAGATTAGTCTGAGCAGATATAGCAGCAATGTAAGTTTTTGTGCAAACTGCTTTGTGTACTTTTACATTTTCTTGACAGATTCACTGACAATATCATTTTGTAACATAAGTTGTCTGTTCAAGCTCTACATTGACGGAGATTAATGTCCGGAAGAGCTGAACCTGGCTTTTAATTTACAAAATTGATGTCTTGTCACAGGGTGGTAGATCAAAAGAACAAATGAAAATCAAATAAATTCACTTACTTGACCAGATTTGGAAGGTAGTTAGCGAAACATGTGCAGATACTTCAAGTAATGCTGAAAGTGCTTTTACTGACAGATGGTTTGCTGCTGATGTGGAGTCAACATGACACATGTGACAGGAACTCAGAGCTTCTTGTGGCTGAAGTCATGCCTATTGGCACACATTTCTAGGCAAGTTGGTTCAGCCAGGATTGTACTCATTCCTTATCCTGTCATGTCAGAGGCTGAGGGGGAAGTAAATTGGATGCAAAAGCAAAGACTTTATGTTCTTTAACATTTGCAAAGTGGAAAGAGCCGTTATTTCACAACCAAATTGAGTCAAAGACGGGATAAAAGAAATCAGTAATAAAATCAGTTTACAAAATGAATTAGAATATTATGGAGACGATAATTTGAATCACATTGTCTCATTCAAACTAGGCCACAAAACAACGTTCTTGTGTTGCCTCCCTGATCCGCCTCCCCTTCAACACCTCCTACATTCACAATTCATATAAACTGTCTAATTTACTGGGTGGTGTGTTGCAATGATTTTAATTAGCAGTGCGTTTTATCCGCATGTGAAAAACTTGACATCAATGAGCTTCATCTCCGGAGAGCGTATAATTGTTTTGCTTTTCAGCATTTCAGTTAATCAACAACACTCATTGTCTTGGCATCAGCAGGTTCAATGAAAGCACTTTAATTTGAGCTGATTGCAAGGCACTTTGTCCATAGATAGGGAGATGTGGAAGTTATTAGAGACTTTGCATAAAGCACTTCTAGGTAGAGTTGCAAAAGGACTGCCATTTATTCCCCTCGGTGCAATTAAAAAAAAAAAAAAAAAGGAGCGGCAGAAGTACCTCACAACAACAAAACTCAGCACGAGCTTTCTCAGCACAGTTCAAATACTATCAGTATTATTTATAATTATGTTTGTGTGCAAAGTTATGCAAATTTGTGAAAATAACGATAAAGCTCCACCTTCCCACACATCTGAAAATGTGAATCCAGCTTGGTCTTATGATGAGAAATTGGAAATGAAAGAGCCAAATAACATCAGAGCAAAAGTAACTTAGTGTTTATGCACACTACTCGTTCATCTTATATGGAGCAAGGTTTGATGTTTCACAAAGCCGTCTTTATTTATTTACATTCAGTTAAACCATGAAAAAGCTGCTTAATAATTATTTTAAAATGTTCTTAAGTAGAATTTTTCATACTTAATCAAGGATATTCCTGGAATATTCATTACTATAAAGTTTACAGAACTAGTCATGACCCACACGCATTTGTGTTTTGGTTTTCATCCGTATTTTATGTGTTTATATATATATATATATATATATATATATATATATATATATATATATATATATATATACTGAATGCAGCAGTGATGTGAAGCTGCAACTGGACTCTTGAGTCCTGGAGTGATAAATCATACCCCTCTACCTGGCAATCCAAAGCACAGTTGTTCAATTCAGGGTGAGGCTCTTGCAAGCAGACCAGCAATCGTCTGACTGCATTTCATCAAGTTTGAAGTTTGGCGCAAAGGGAATGGTATTTGTCAGAAGTCTTGCTCTGCTTCTTAGTTCCAGTGAAAATAACTCTTACTGTTTCAGCATCCGAAGACAATTTTATTCTTCTAACTTTGTGAGAACAGTTTGGGAATGGCCCTTCTCTGTCCCAACATGATTGAGCACCAGTGCACAAATCAAGTTCCATAAAAATGTGGAATAAGCAGCTTAGAGAGGAAATACTTGACTGGCCTCAACCCAAGGCAGCACCTTTGGAATGAATGACAACTGAATATGTGGGCATGGTCTTTTTGGCCATCATCATTGCCAGCAGAGTTTAAAAAAAATGCAATAAAAAATTGCTGAGCCTTATGGACAGCCTAGATGAGTTAACCCTGTCATTACTGCAAAAAGTAAATGATTATAATCATTAACAGATATTTCAGATAAAGATAGAACCTGTTTGATAGCTTGAAGCAGGCTAAAGGATCTGAAAATTGCAACTCACTGCGTTCTGATACAAAGAAATTGGTAACACTTTATTTGACGGGGTGTGCATAAGACTGATATGACACTGTCATAAACATGACATAACACCTGTCATGAACATAAAGAAGTCTTTATGAATGTTTATGACAGTTGTCATGAAGTGTCATTCAGTAAATAATGACACTTTTAATGCAAAGTTGCTCTAAAAGTTGCATTAAAAGTCCATTAAAAGTCCCAACTTTGCATGATTTTGTAAATTATGATAATTGAATGCTAATTTCAATAGGATCCCTGAATTTCCCTCTTCTCTCTCCCATTTGGGCCCCTTGTAGGTTCAGGTTGGAGGTCTGTTGGTCCTTCCCTGATGTGATGTCACAAATATATAACAATTGTGGGAGGAATTATCTGATGTTGATTTCTAAATCAACACCAGACTGAGTGTTGAGTTAGACTGTTGGGAGTTAATTTAGAAATCAACACTGGACTGGATTGCTTTTTGTTTAACTCTTTGGAACTCTTAATGAGTGTTAGGGAAACTAACACTCACTAACACTTGAATTAACACTGTATTTTTAACATACAACACTTGCACTGGAAATCTGACACTTTTGAATTTGTTGTGTACTGTTCATATCAGGCATGATTAATTGAAAGTGTTGGTATTTACTGTAATTGGAAGATAAAAACCCAGGTTTGAAATCATGCAGTGTGGAAGGGGTGTAGCAAGGGCTGCAGAGTTTTATTACATTCCCCCAAAGAGGGGAGCATGATGTCATGAACATGTGTCTCATCTACTGTACGGAACCTGTTTCCTGGCCAGACAGCTGAGCCGAGCATCAGAAGTTTATGTTCTCATAATTTCTCCAGAAAAGGTTTGAGTCCTCCCTCTTGCCCTCATACAAGGTGTTATCTTTTCTCACTCAGTCATACAAACACTTCACAATATCTGTGACCAAATCTGTAAAACCACAGAGGGAGAACAGCTTGTTTTGTTTTATTTTTTTTATTTTTAATAAAATGAATCCTGTTAAAAACAAAGCAAGAATTCATAGCTGGATAGTAAGACATCCAACATACATAATAAAACCATTATCTCCATTTAGTACAAAAATATGTTACATAAAGTGAGTCTTTACAAAACAAATAATTTAATGTGATGATGGAAACGTTAAAGAAAGGAACTGAGAAAACACAAACTGCTGACTTTGTGCACAAACTTACTGCAAGTTATTGAAAATATACACATAATTTTAGCTATTCACACTGAAAACTCCACCATCAGATTTGTTCAAGATCGCCATTACAGCAGCCCCTGTGTGTTACTTTTTGCTATATCTGCACCATGGCGACAAATCCATGTAGTTCAACATATAGTCAGCAAATAAAAATTCAATACCAAGCAGCTACATGTCAAGCTTACCTATCAGATCTAAGTATGGTTTTTATTTTTTGTGCTATTCTGTGACATTTGACATGATAAAATAAAAAAAATAAAAAGTTTACATAAGATCAAACAGAGCCTTAGAATAACAGTTCATTTGGCATCAATCTGCAAACAGAGAGAAGAAAAGAAGAAAAATGCCTTATAGTTGGATATAGGAATCAATCTGTATTATTCAGCGGCTGTCATAAAGCTTTAGAAAACTAGCTGAGCTTCAAATTAGAAAGTTTAGGCCACAGCTATACTTCTGCAGTATTTGGTTTCTCTTTTTTTGAAAAGATTGGCATTTGCTTGCTTCCCAGAAGGAGTCAGAGCATGGCTACAGAAAGGTAAGGGTCTCTAAGTTAGACACCTGTCAAAGTACTACGTATCTGCCTTACGTTTAAATATAATAAGAAAATGCATCCCTATAAAATATTGCTTCAGCATCTCTTTCCTAGCTGCTTCACACTGTACTGAACAATATCATCTCCAGCTAATCCAAACACCCACACAAGGTTTGGATACATTGAAAAATCCTTCTGCTTATGCTTAACAAATTAGAGGTGTCATCTATAGCACATAAATTCATCAGCGTTATGGAATTTGTCCCAGTGCTATTCAACTGACACAATAGCAATCTAATAAAAATTTACTTAATTTCATGCCACACTATACAGCTGCTTCATCTGTTCTGATAAAAGTTCACTAGCGTCTGCATGCTAAATGTCACAGTGGCATTAACTGAATGCAGTCTAAAATGATTTCTTAATAAATTAAATGATCATTATTTTAACTGAATTAAATAAGGAATTCAACTTTAATCTAAAAATCATTAAGTATGAAAAAAAATATCAGTGACTTCACAGGCGAAGTAAAGTGAATGTAAAAGTAAAAGTGCACATACTCTGATGGAAATCCAAGTTAAAGTAATCATTTCAAAACCTCTATCTATTAAAGTGACATATATCATGTTCAATAGAAAAAACAAATACTTTTAGAGGGAAATAATACAAATAAAAAGTAGCAATTACTCAGATGTCTTAAATGTGAACACTCTTAGATGGATCCATAAATTATCAGGGCCGTGGAAAAGAAATGTCTTCATTATTTATGAAATGTCTGAATACAGATGGGAAAAATATTACTTAGCATGTAGCATGCTGACAAACTCCAACAAAATAAGAGTAAATGTTGTTTTTGATCAAAAGGTGAAACTTAGGATATGGACACTTCCAAAACAAAATGTTTTTTGATATTACCTGTCTTGTACTTTTTCCCCAAAAGAATATCTGGACGTCTCACATTACAATTGTAAAATGTTTTTAAAGAAGTACTTTTGATGCTTTCGTTTTTCACGGAACAAAAACCCACTATTTTAATAAAGGTGTGACCACTTTTAAGAACCAATGTACCTTTTCTTGGTGCAGTAGAACACTTTAAATTTTACACCATTCATTCTAACAGACACTTGACAGTTTCTCATATGTGTTACCTCAGTGGAATACCAGGAGTTGATGATCTAATTGAAATAATTCTTTTTAGAAATGCTGACATGCCCCGCAAAAAAAATAAAATAAAATAAAAAAATAAAAAAGCCTTGTGACAGAAGCTGCATGTTTTTCAGCCTACATTTTGTGTTCAATGAAAACTATGCCTGGCAAATAACTCACTGCTCTGCTGTTCTTTTAGTTCATACAGCAGCAATTGCAGACTATATTTATGCCTTGCAAAATATCCATGTTTGTGTGCATGATACCTTGGTATGCAAATGTATAATAATTTAATAAAGCAAATAAAAGCTGCCTTTGTACAGATTTTTTTATCATAGAGTATTATACTCAGAGTCTGAGACTGAGCAAAATTGACTATGACTTCATCCAAAGGATTAAGCATTTTATATACAAAAATACCCTCACAGATGTCCTGTGTTAAGATTGTCAACACAATCATTTTAGTTTAAGCAAAAAGTCCAACTATTTTTCGCCAAACCTGAAGGAAAATATCTCAGTTGATTAAAAGTACACATTTGGATAGTTTTGAAGTCGCTGCCACATTAAACTGAGTTTTAAAAATTACATTGATGTTTAATGTTAATTCTTGGTGGCAGGTCTTCTGTAAGCTTCTCTAGTTTAACACAACTAAATTGACTGAAATGTTTGGTGCCAGAGCTATGTAGAACTTGATGATATGCTGAAGAGGTGATTCAGCCTTTAGAGTTACATGTTTTGATGTTTTTACATCAAAAACATGCAGAATGTTTATCCTTAATGACTGGAATTTCACTCTAGCTAATTTTTGTGTGCAATAAATGTGTCAAGTTCCGGCATGAAACATCCCGTGATTTGCAACTCTATGCACCAAAAGCATATATGATGAATATTTTTTGTTCTTGAGTTACAGCAGTATGTCCGGAACAGAGCTTTGCAGTTCCTTTGGGCACCAGGGAAATACAAATGTTTCTTTCATTAAACGCTGTTTCTCTGCATCAAGTTTGAAAGGGTTAGTGTTTATATAGTTGCTTTGTCTTGTTACATAACATGCAGGTAGGTTGCCTTGCTGTCCACTCCGATTACATTTTTGGCGATGCACCTGTAAAATCCTGTGTCCCTATGTGTCGGGTTTTGTATCACCAATGAACCCTGAGGACTCAGGTAGAGGTTGCCATAAATACGAGGCTGACCCATCACACTCAGTTGTGTCAGGTCTGGTGTTTCCCAACTAACTGTTGCTCGCGGGGTGGCTATGGTCATGCAGGGCAGCTCCACAGCAACACCGCCTCTAGTGTAGGTGACAGGGGAGGGACCGATTGTGATGCGTGGAGGGTAGGCGATGACGATGACAGGAACTGTGGTGACTGAGACTGAGGAAGAGTCAAGACTGGAAAACCTGCAGATGTAGCTGCCTCGATCAAACACAGAAACCTGTTTGATTACTAGTGTTCCATCTTCTTGCACCACATAACGTCCTAGATCGCTACTGTCACCTCTGGATAGTATCTTGCCACTTGGCATCGTCCATGAAACAGAGCCCCTGGTTGTAGAGGAAGGGCAATGCAGTCGGAGAGTCTCTCCATTAATGGTGCTCACTAGAGGGGCGGTGCTGGTGCGTACTGTGGGTTTGGAGACTGAGCCTGAGAAAGGTGGAGAGTTTATAGAGTGAGACCTGTCTGGTACACCAAGGCCCCTCTGTGAATGCTGCAGAGGCGATACTGTCCTTGTGTGTAAAGACTGGGATGCATCTAAATTTCCCGTCAGCGGTATATTTTCCACTTCTCTGCCTTGTTGGGATCTCACATCCACCACTGGTTCTGACACTTCAAGCTGGACCCGCATCAAAGTGTCACCTCTTTCGGTTTTTGCAACACAAACCAAATTCCCACCGTCACTCGCCCGTACATCTCGAAACTCCAAGGAGCCGTTTCGATGCACAGTGAGTCGGCTGCCGTAGTAAGGAGCCGGCAGCATGCCATTTCCAGGAAGAAGCCAGGCCAAACGAAGTGGAGGGTAACCTTGGTATGGGCATGGCAAAGTGACAGCCTGGCCTTTAACTGCTCGGTGCTTTGCTATTTTCCCCCCACCCAGATGTGTGTCTAAATTACTACTTGAAGAAACGCTATTTCTTCTGTTATCATTAGCTCCCCCTGCATGACTGTTCCTGTTGAAAGCATGTCCTCTTTGAGTGCTTGTACCAGCTCCATTACCTGACAAACTACCACTAATACTTTGGCCGTTTGTTGAAATAACAGTTAACCTGCTGTTGTCTCTGCTGGTATTAGCATCATTACTTTTCTTTCCTGCAATGACTTCATTGTTATTCATCTCAGGATTCCTTTCAGTACTTTCTTCTCTGCCTGTGCTTTGGCTGCGATCTACATTACCACTTCTACTCTGAATGCTGGGTGTGTTTCTATTTAATCCAGTACTGTCTATCTTAATGCCTGTGCTCTGTGCCTCATTTGCCCCAGCCATTATCCCAGTATTACCCCGTCGTGTTGAAAATCCTCCAACAGGACTTTTAAACTCATGTTGACTGTAACTTCTTAGAGTAGGATTGGAGCCACTGAACACTGAGTTGAGATTGGTAATAGGAACTATGTTTACTTTTCTGCTATTATTATCACTATAGCTGTTATTGCTTCTGCTCTTGCTTGCAGTTACAACATTAGATCCAAGATTGATTTTTCTTGCACTAATGACTCCGTGATTGCCATCAGATTTCTTTACACTCCAACCTTGTCCTTTTTCCACCTGTCCTATAATTCCAGAGGTAGAAGTCTCCACTTCCAAGGTCACCACCATGCTCCTTATCCCAGCTGAGTTGCTTGCTCGACAAGTGTAATTTCCAGAGTCAATCTTTTGGGCGGAATGCACTTCCAGGCTTCCATCGGAAATGACCACAACTCGCTGAGAAGAGAGGCCTGATCCCAAGCTCTGTGGGATAACAATGAACGATGGAGAAAACCAGGTAACTGTTGGGGCAGGATCTCCTGTGGCCCTGCAGGGAATTGTAGCAGTTTCTCCCTGCTGCACTTTGATGAAATAGTGACCTCTGCCATTAGTGAACGTTGGTGGGGTTGTCTTCATGGCCTTTACTATGACCTGAAAAAAGTTAGGTCTTATAATCACATTTATATCGACAAAGACAACTTTGTAATAACAATCAGGTGATGAAGTCATTTTTCTGCAGAGTACATAGTGTTACATACCTTCATGGTATCTCGGCCTGCCTGGTTCTCTGCGTAGCAGATATACTCGCCCTCATCTCCTTCACCAACTGCTGGAATCAATAACGTCCCGTTGTGAAAAACAGTACGTTGCCGTCTTTGACCCCTGCTGTCCTCTTGAAACAGCTCACTCTTTACGGTGTTCCCATTTGGTAACGTCCAACGCACAGCTGGATGAGGCAGTCCAGAGGCCTGGCAGTCTACCTGTATAGAATCCATAAGTGTATTTTTCCACATCATTATTGGATGCAATAACACTGTATGTTAAATAAATGGATGTTTTCTATCCATTAGTTTATCAACTAAATTGCTCTTAAATGATCTTTCTAGGAGCTCACAACTACCTCTATTGAAATATAGGGTAACACATTTTCATAATCATATAAAATCTCATTTATTGCGTTAAACTTTCATGAGATTATTTTTCACTTAAATATTTATGTGTGCATCACTGTTCCCTTAAGGCAGCTGTTTGTGATTCACAGAAGCCAGTTATATAACATGTCCAGTTTTAATTTCTTTAAATAAGAAAATCTTTAGTCTTCAGATCCAGCCCTATTTTCACCTCATGACGTACAGTTCTCTGTAAGATCATTTTTTTAGAACTTTACAATTGATCACCAGTCATATGTAGCAATGACCTAATATGCTGAAACATATTTTTATTCATTAGCCCTCAAAAAATACGCAGAAGTTCCACTGAAACATATTTTTTGTACATAAAAAATAATGATCTGTGGCTTTAGTTTTACCTTCAGAGGTTTTCCAAAGAACACCATCTGATTGATTGGCTGTTTTGGGTCAATCCTGGGAGACTTAGTGACCACAGACACACGCAGAATTCGATAATCATCAGCAACCTTGTTGCGTGCAATACACAGGTAGTCTCCACTGTCCTTCTCTGTTACTGCCCGCACTGACAGCGTGCCATTAGGATGCACCTTTACACGTTGGTCAAAACTTAAAGTCAAACACAAACAAAAGGTCAGGAAGTTATATTATATACAGGATATATTGAAAGAATTAACAAAGACTTTATCACACACTTAGCAAACATGTACCTGTAGTGCATGTCCACAAGCTTTCTGGTGGGGGTCCTCCATACAATGGTTGGGGTAGGGTTTCCACTTACAGAGCAGTAAAGATTCAAAGTCCCCTCATAGTTAACAGTAGTAGCAGAGGGTGATGTAGAGACAATGTGGGCTTTAGTGAAGGGGGAGACAGGCCGAGGCTGCAAAACAGTCGAGGTTTTTCCACTGGTATGGAAAGAAGAAGCAACTCTTGTGCTGTTTCCTCTGGGTGATACTTTGGTGTTATTTGTTGGCACCATGGAAGGTGAGAAAACAGAGAAGGGATTTGCTTTTTTGATGTCAGGAAAGTGCGATGGGTAAGGTTTTACGGTTTTATTGATTTCAAGAGATGAGCTAGAGGACGAGTTAAAAGGGCTTGAGCTGATTGACAAGTTCTTAGATCTGTCAGAGGGATTTACAGGAGAGAATTTACTTGGACTGAATGCAGCTGAGGTTTGGCTTGGGATTACCGATGTTCTGACTTGGTTGAAAAAAGATGAATTGGATGTTTTTTTATCTTTTGCCTCCCCATCTTTAACCACTACTGTCACTGTCCTCTTAGTAGTCCCTACAGCATTACTAGCAGTGCACTCATAATTCCCTGTGTCCTTTGACCCCACATTGCGAATATGGAGTGTCCCATTTGGCAGGACAAAGAGGTTTCCATTAAGAAACTGGGATGGTCGAACAAGCGTCCCATCTGGAATTTGCCAGCGCAGAATTGGTGTTGGGGCCCCTCGGGCGGAGCAGTGAGCATAAACAGGCCAACCTACAGAAAAAAGCAGGTGTTCCTCCCTGGGTTGCTGAATAACCGGGGGCAACGAGGACACATGGAGACGCACTGAGGCGCTGGCTGCACCAGCTGAGTTGGATGCCACACAGCGGTAGACTCCTCGGTCAGTGGGTAATGTTACTGAGATGTGAAGGGTCCCATTTGTGTCCATATGGATTCGATTAGAAAAGGTGCCAGAGGAGGTTAAGGTAGAACGATTAGGCAGAACCCAGGAAAGCAGAGGGGCTGGAACGCCATCTGCTTGGCACTCCAGGTGAACCTGGCTGCCCTGATGAATGGTAACTTCCCGGTAAAGCATCAGCTGCATATGAGGTGGGCGAGTCAAGATTTCTAGTGTGGTGAGCAACCTGTAAGAAAAAAGAAGAAGACACACAATACAGAAACTTTAACACATTCTACACGTCTGCACTCTCTAAATGTGCACTGGATTCTGGGAAGTATCTAAAGATATAAATCTTTAGATTTATATCTAAAGATTTATAAGATTTACTTTCTTCTTCACTCAGTGAAGAAGAAAGTAAAAGCTGATTCATGATCTCATATAGACAGAGTTGTGTTTGCTGGTTGAGTATAAATCAGTTATTCATTATGTTTGCACTAACAAATAATAAATATAGTTTATTTCAAAAACATCCCATTCCTTTGAATTGCTGAACACATTGTCACCTTATCACTACAGATTTTGATTTATTGCACTTGTGAAGCAAAGGGAAATGCTGCGTGTTTTCAAAACCTATTTTTAAAAATGGTCTGAAAAGTGTGGCATGCTTTTGTTGTCAGTCCATCTGAGTTAATAGTTTGTACAGTCACCAGCCATTGTAATTACAACTACAAGTTAAATGTGGCAGGTTAAATGTGGCTTTGCACATTTGAATATTTTACATTTTCCTAATTCTTCTTCACAAAACAGCTCAAGATCAGTCAAACCAAACAATCCGTAAACAGGTATGTTTAAGTTATTCCTCAAATTCTCAAACGGAAAACATTTCTGTGGCACTTTCTACAGGAATATGGTCCAAGTAAATTGGAATAATGAATTATTTTGGATTAATTTGAACAATTGTTGTGGTGTGTTTCTGGTGTGTTCCTCAGTCCTTATGACACTCTTTGTTCACTTATGTAACAAAGTAAAAATATATTTATAATAAGAATAAATAATGCGTAGACTTGCTCTATTTACTGATGAAGGGACTTCTGGTAGCAATAGAGTTTATTTTGTGGTGTCTGAGTAAAGGACAATAGACATAAATGTACAAAACAACATGTTTTTTAGACTTTATTTTTAATAAGTGTAAAAAACTCCAGTTCCCCTCCCAAATTAAAATGATTTATTACTTTGTGTTGTTTTACTATGCAAAATCTCAATTAAATGTCTGCAGTTGTAACATGACAACATGTAAAAAAAAAGTTTAAGGAGCCTTAACCACTTTTGGAGGTACTGTATAGCAACATTGTTGCTATTTTTTTCTCTGACCATATGCCTCGTTGAATAAAACTGATTATAATGTATGTTGTGTTCTAAATGTTATACTATACAGACAAGCTCATCAGTATTCATTTCTAAAATCAGCATTCCCACCTGTCATGGCCCAGCAAGCTGCTCGCACTGCAGATATACGTTCCTCTGTCCTGCACTTGTACATTCTGGATAACAAGGGTGCCATTTGGCAAGACCTCAAAACGCTGAGCTCTGGAGTGGATTGACATCACCGCTCCTGAAAGAAAGGCAAAGGGGTGAGGCAGTAAGGCAGAAAGAGAAAACAGTAATGAGAAGGCAGGGGTGGGAAGAACAGAGACAAATTTGGAAAAAAGTTCCAGAGCGAGACAGGAGAAATATGGGCACAATGAATGGCACAGCTTGAAGTGAAGTCAGTGATGCAGTGCAGAAAATGTTCCATTACTTGCTTGCAGTGTTTTCCACATGGCAAGCCAGAGAAAAGCCTATTAAGTGTTTGCTAGTGTATAATGTTTTGTGTTAATGGATTTTTTTTTATATATCACAGTAAAATAAGTTCCTATTTGCTCTGCCATACCAAAACTTGTTGCAGGCTTAAGCAATCAGAAAATTTTCCATCAAAGAGTGAAATTCTGATATTTTATGGCTTTCTGTATAACAGAATCAAATAATAAGCCTTGCCTCTAGTTTTAAAACTTCTCCAGAGAAAGGTATGGAGCATATGTGTGTCTGAGTTCATGTCCTCTATTTGGTGTGTACCTGTAGCAACTTTAGTCCATGTGATTGAAGGTTTTGGCTCTCCCTGAGCTTCACACACCAGGTTTACAGTGCTGCCTGCCGGTACTGATATGGTGCGGATGTGAGGGTCTGCGATCCTTGGCTTAGATCTGACAACCGGAACCTGTGCAGTGGATAATTAAGAGACGTTAATCAAATAAATAAAACTTTCAAGCACCAAAATAACACTGCAACACTGGAAATATAGTATCAGTTCACCAGAATTGTGTGGGTCTTGTATGTCAATAAACAATATACAATTCTGTTACGATGCTCCTACACAACAGTTACAAAGACAAGGATTTGTTATAGACAGATGGATGACAAAAATAAAAACATGTAATGGAAAACTCAAAAGCCTTGTCGATGTCAGGGATTAAAGGATAGAGTCTGGTCTTACATAATCAAAAAGCAACTGTAGGTAAACTCAGACGCAAACTTTGGTGACTTCCCCAAAATAAAAAAAGCTGCAGCGTTTCCTCTCAAGGTGTGTCTTTGTGTCTGCCAAATGTCAGTGTGTGCACAGGTGGTAGAGATGCAGTTCAGCTTTGTAAAGTCCTATGTTGGTAATTTAGGCCTTTGCTTTTACCATTGCTTTGAACTTGATTATGGTGGATATTAATTGAAAGCTCAAAGCTACAACCTTTAAAGCGATGGAGCTACAGAGGGATTCTTTTTGCTGCCTGATTGTTTTTTGTTGATGTTTATGGGCCAAAGACAGAGCAAAGATGAGGAGCAGAGCTGCAGCTTTGAACTTTTAAACAACACATGGTACATGCATTTAATGAACATAATTGTGAGTACTATCAAGTAGGTAATAATACCATACATTTTGCAGCACACACTATAAATATATGATCCAAAACCTTCCATTAGTGCATCACATATAAAATCAATATCTGGGAACAACTAATTGTACAGTCAGTAAGTTCATTTGAATTTCTTTGTGGTCTTTGAAAGATTTCATTTCAGTTTGATAGACAGCAGACTTCTGGCTATTAATTAAGGATTAATTATCTGGAATCCCATAAGAATAAGCTTTAAAAACCATTATGTTTGTTGACTGCAGACTTTTTTAGCCATGTGTTTTTTTTTCTCTCTCTTCAGATCACAGTATGAGGTTTAAAAGTCCATCAAATAAGTGAGTAGTGATGAACCTCATTTGGATTTTATCAGATGGTCATGTGGGGACAAATAAGATTGTTTTTTGATTTGTTGTGCATTCCAGTTTTTGCCCTCAGGGGTTTTCACAGTTGGATATTGTGTGTGTGTGTGTGTGTGCGTGTGTGTGCATGTGTGTGTGTGTGTGTTTTTTTTCTGGGTCAACACTCTTAAAGAACTGACTGTTGGTTTGTGTTTTACATTTAAGAACCACATAGTTTATTACAATATGCATTTAAAGAATTTCTAATCAAATGGAAATCTCAATAATGCAGCAATATGAAATATGGAAAGATTTGGAATAATTTAACAAATGAACAAAAAATAGAGGTTAGGGAATTTGAAAAAGCACCCATGAACTTGCCCCAAAAGTAGTTAACATTTTGTCTTATAACACCCATTTAGGTGTCCATCCATCCATTTTCTTTACACCCTTATCCCTTAGTGGGGTCGGGAGGGTTGCTGGTGCCTATCTCCAGCTAACGTTCCAGGTGAGAGGCGGGATACACCCTGGACAGGTCGCCAGTCTGTCACAGGGCAACACAGAGACACACAGGACAAACAACCATGCACACACACACTCACACCTAGGGACAATTTGGAGAGGCCAATTAACTGTGGGAGGAAACTGGAGTACCTGGAGAAAACCCATGCATGCACAGGGAGAACATGTAAACTCCATGCAGAAAGACCGGGGCTGGGAATCTAACCCAGAACCTTCTTGCTGCAAGGGAACAGCTCTACCAACTGCGCCACTGTGTAGGCCCCCATTTAGGTGTTTTTTTTGTTTTTTTTTATTTATGAAACAGGTCAAGTAAAAATAATGTGGAAAAAAATGATACATTTATTTCAAAATGTTTATATAAATAAAATAATATAAAATATATTTCCAGCCCCTCTGGGACTATGCTTTGTACAACTACTTTTAAGCACAATTACAGCAGCAAGTCTCGGCTAATATCTTCAACTGGTTTGTACATCTAAATTCAAAAACTCTTGCCCATTCTTGCAGAATGATGCAGAGCTCTGCAGCTCCACGGAGGTAACAAAGACCCCGGGGCTGCTTCTCAGAAATCCTTTCACTGTTTGGCTTGTGTGAATAGGTGAATATCCATGGCCAGATAGCTATGCGGATGTGTCACACACTTTCCGTTTTTGGATAATGGAAAGTGTGTGAAACTTTCCACATGTCATAGTGGGACTGTGATATGTTTGTAATCGAACCCTGCTACGTTTCCACCTTATCCCTGAGCTGTCTGGTTAGTTTTTCTACTTCATAGTACCATATGTTCACCAGTATCCTCAATGTATAATTTACTTCCAATTCATACATTTTTTTAAATCCATAAAATAAAATCCTGATCAGATACATAATAGTTTATAGTTGAAACATGACAATTCAAGTGAAGGAGGAAAACTTACCTTTGGAGATGCGGGAAGTGACGGGGAAGGCTGATGAAAACTGCTTCTGTGTGAATCTGGAATAGTGTTAGCTCCATGGTTCTTCCAATCAGTAGGTGTCTGACTCCTGTTTTGACCATTCGCAGGGTGGTCAACCTGACCAGTTGCTTTAGTGTTTCTTGTTATTGCTTTGGTACTTGTCAATTCCGTTGTGGTGGTAGTGGAAAAAAGAGTTTTCACTGTAGATTGTTTTGTTGTAGTTGGAGGTGTTGTGGTCAGAATACTTTCTGTTGTAGCTGGAAGTGTTGTTTTAGAATCAGTAGATGTGGTAGAAAAAGAGGAAATGGACACTTTAGGGATTGCATTTATCAAAACTGGAGAACTGCTTTTGCTGGTAGAAGGATTAGAAGTGGTGCTTAGCCTTGTAATTATTGGCCTGAACTTAGTGTCTGAGGTCAAAGTTGAAGAGATAGTAGAGGAAGTAGTTGGCAAAGTGACTGTAGAAGTCATTGAGGTGGACAGAGCTGAAGTCTGTCTGGGAGTGCTGGATATTGGAAGGATAATGGGGGTTGAAAGAGACATGGTGGGACTTATTATAGCAGCCGTGGTTGTTGTGGGTAGTGTGTCCTCATTAGTTGTAGAGGCTGGTGTACTTTTAGTGCTGCCAAAATAACTAGCTCTCTTGGGAGCAGCTGAAGAAGTAGTTATGATTTTTGCTGCACTGGTGGTGGTTAAAGATGCACTGGGGACTGAGGGAGCAGTGAGAGAATGAGTGATTGAAAAGTGGGACTCACCCAAAGCATTCATCTCTAACTCCTTGCTGTGTTTGCTCGGGGGTCTCTCAGCATGTTTGCCTAAGGTTGTTTGTGTTGCTGTATGAGCCCATGCAGCATGTGTAAATGTCCTATTATCGGGTTCTGGCACATGCGGCTCTGAAATGATAATGGTAGCATGAGTGGGGGCTGGTGTGCTGTTAAAAGTAGACTCCTCAGTTATTTGTTTCTTGCCTGAGTGAATCATCATGTCTGTGTATGTGTGCGGGGCTGTAGAGGAGGGACTGAGTGGAGGTGATTCAAAATTTGAAATAGTAATAAAACGAGGGTCGGAAACAGTTGGCGACACAGGAGTCACAGTCACACCATTTGTAATAGTCCTAACATTGTTTCCCAGTGTCAGCATAATAGGTGGAAATGTGGTAGTTGATAAGGGCAACAACTTTGTGATTTTATCTGGACTTGACTTAAGTGTCACTGCTTGGTTTATTGAGTTTATCGGGTCAGAGCGAGGATGCTGTGAGGGTACAGGCTGGATCTTTGGCCTGTTAATTCGCCTACGTTGTCCAATCTTCCTGCGGATGTCCCAGGGTCTTCGAGGTCGGGAGTTTGGAATCGCATTTGGGAAAAGTCCCTGTAGAGGATTTTGTGGCCTGGTCCTATTAGGGCTTAGATTTGGTACTTTCTCATCCAACACAATTGATTCTATTCCATTTGCTCCTGATAATGAAGTAAGTGTGACACGCTCTGTTTCTGTCTCTGGGTTCACTGTTGTTACCGTTTGTTTGTTTTCTTTCTCTGTCTGTGTTTTTATGTCAAATTCTAGATTCACGTGTGGCCGCTCAGTCATATTATGTATCTCTGCAATGGTTTGTGTTGCTTGTATTATCTGTGCATCCTTATCAGGAGGTTGAATGGGTTGTGGTTGTTCTTCTTTTACAGTAGCATCATCAACTGAAGACCCTTCAGATTCTGTTTCCTCCTGTGAGCCATGAGATATACTTCTGTCTTTATCGTCACCCTTTCCTCCTTGTCTAATTTCTTCATCTTTTTCTTCAAATATAGGTTGAGTTGTTGTTTTTTCTTCAGCAATTGCTTGACTATTGGTGCTGTTGGCGGTCTTTTGACGAATTTTTGCCAGGAGATCAGCCCATTTCTGAGGGTCTATCCTGTGTTTCTTTGTGGTTACTCTGGGTCTGTTCTGAAAGCGGTGTTTCTTCTGCATAGTTGGTGAAGTAGGTCCTCCAATCCTTTTTAGATGTCCCTCTCTAACACGACCATATCTTTGTGGCTTCTTTATTAGATGTTGTCTGTTTGGGCGTGGTTGGAGAGATGTTGGATATCTTCTTTTACCAGAGGAGGTTTTCTCATCCTCTTCATTTTCTTCATCTCCTGATCCTTCATCAATCTGCCCAAAATTGGGGACCGGTATCTTTGTTGACCTGCCAGCAGCTGATTGAGGTCCTCTGGGTAATGAAGTCTCAAGGGAAGAAATATGTTGTGCTTTTAATATCAGCTGCATTGACATGGTGTCACTACCATACTGGTTGACAGCAATGCAGCGGTAATATCCTGTATCCTTCAGAGTTGATGCAAGTAAAGACAAACTTCCATTTGAATGTACTTTCAATCCACCTGATACAGCTAATCCTTGCCACACAACATTTCCATCTGGCAAAATCCAACTTGCCAAAGGTTCTGGTGAACCAGATATCCTGCAGGGCAGAGTGACAGCATCTCTAATGGTTCCAGTGACCGGGGGTCCACTTAGCTCACCTGAATATGGAACGGCAGACTCTTGTACTGCCAGGCGTAATTGAAGGACATCGAAATCTCTTCCAGCTCTGGCAACACAATGGTAAAGCCCTCCATCAGAGAGCTGTACTCTTTGTATTAGTAGGCCTGAGGCTGATAGCTGGAACCTGCCATCTAAACTGCTTGAAGAAGTATTGAGTTTAGATCCATCTGGAAGAATCCATTGGACACTGGGATTACTAGAACTAAGAACAGGGCAAGACAGCTGTATGTTACTGCCTGCTACTCCTACTGCTGTAACTGCTGTGTTAGTGCGATTAGTTAAAATCATTACCCATGGGTGAGAAGTAGGGGAAGACAGTGAGGGATTAAAAGTTTGATCAGGATGAGCAGAAACTCTCGTTGAGTAGATAAGTTGGACTTTATGCCTGTTAGACTGTGCTCTGTCAAGCTGAATGCTAATTGCTGATTGTAGTAACCATTCTGGTCGGGCTTTAACAGAGGCTTTGATCCCAGTGTGATAATATCCATCTGTCTCTGGTGCCTGTCTGTAGCGGTAGGCCAATGCCGGAGCTTTACTTAACATGATCTCCCTCTCAAGGCGAGCTGCGGTTTCACTGTAGTAAGCCAAAATCCTCCAAAGTTTCTCGTAGCTTTGTCCCAGAACAGGGCAGTCAAGGGGGAGAGACAAAGCGAGCGGGAGAGGAAAAGAGGAACTCCAGGAGAGATCTGGAGGAGGAGTAACGTCTGGGGAATCGGTAGAGTGAGTAATTTTACAACTCAGATCAACGCTGTACCCTTGTTGGTCAGAAAGACCCAGGGTGATATTGCCTAAAGGCTCTCTGAACTTCTCACTTGGCTGGATTTTGCTATGGTCTGATTCCAAGGGTGTTTCTTTTCCAGGGAAGCTGATGATCGGTGAAGTGCAATGTAGAGTCGCCTGATCAAGCAAATTCTGGCCCTGGAGAGACAGGGGCGAGGCACAAACTGGACACTGAGGACCACCAGGACATTTCAATAAGCCTAATGACAGATAGAGTGAAAGAGAGAAAGAGAAAGATAGAGAGAGTGGGTGAATGTTGTCAAAGCAAATCTCTCATATTAATAGATATATTCTGTTTTTTGCATTGTATTTAAATATAATGAAATGTGACGCTTTAGTAATTTGCACATATTTTTTTTGAAAATTAAGTCATTGATTAGTCACACTAGTTTATTTCAAGCATTCATTATCCCTTTTTTGTTTCTCGCTAATTTACTGTGGTTGTTTCATCTCGCAAATCACAATGCATCACTTTTTAATCACAGCACAATCATTACCCTATATATCAGCTGCCACACATCAGCGCCGTCATCATGTATTAGTCATGGCAGGTTAAGTCTGGCATATCAATGGCACAAATTTCATGGTTCAGCTTTCTTTCACATTTTAATAAAGCCTACAAGACAGACTGCAAAAATAATATAGAGCCAAACAAGGACGTATGTGTGACAAAATGATGGTCAAGGGCTTCTGTGTAAATTAGATCTGTCGAAAAGTAGGTTTACCCACATCTAATGGATTGGTCACAAATTTTTAGCCAGTTATAAAAGCCTTCTTGATTCTCCCATTCAATTTTCTAATCTACAGTTTGTCTTCTTAAAGACACAGCAATAAATAGCATTCAATAAAACTGTAGATAAGAAGAAGCATAAAAAGAAAATATTTTTTTCTAGACTTAGCAGTCACCTGGGTGAGCAAGACTCCATGAGAGAAACCAGTTCATCCTACAGTCACAGCTCCAAGGATTAGCCTGCAGGACCAGAGTCTCCAGCAGAGGTGCTGTTGTCACACTCTTTTCAGACAGGATAGTTAGACTGTTGTTGGAAACATCTAGATGTCTGAAAACAAAAGACGCTGGCTCAAACATTGTCAAAAAACAAATTAGTTAAGCCTCCATAATCATTAACTTTCTCTGCATATATGAGTCTGTTCCTTCTTTTATTTGTTTGTGCAAATAAAACCCAGCATGCAAATCTTCACATTTTCTCATGTAACTGATGAGGAATTGTCTCAAGCACCGCCAGGGCTGTGGACTGTTATACATTTTTGTTGTCAAACCTCACCTCAAAGTAGAAAAATAATATGTATTCAGGATGGAGAGCGTGCACAGAGCGTGAGGGTGCAGCTGATGCAGCCTGTTGCCTTGTAGACGAAGCAGCCTGAGGCTAGGCAGCTGGAGCAGAGCCCGGGGGTGGATGTGTTGGAGCAGGTTGTGATCCAAGTAAAGACGCAGCAGTGATGTCAGGCCAGAGAAGGTCAGAGATGAAGAGATCTCTCTCAGCTTGTTATAGCTCAACTTGAGTATCTGTAAGAAGAAAGAGGTGAAGTGAGGTGTACAAATTAGAAAAACAGACATCAAGGCTGATTGAAAAAAGCAAGTCTTATGCGAGGGATCGTAAGTGTTTCAGTGGCTGCCACTTGCTTGGAAATTGAATTTAGAACAATTGGGAAGCAGAATAAGGATTTGAATAATAATAACTCTTCTTGGAATTTATGAAAATTTTAGAACATAAGGTATTTCTTACAGCTCTCCATTTCCCAGTTTAAATCTAAAAAACATTCCACAGCACACAATATGATACGAACATAGGACAGAAGCAGGGAGAACTAAAAGGATTATTTTTGCTCTGGTGGGGTGCACTGCTCCAATGCAGTTAAGCTTTTGATCCAGAATATCACACTGTAGGAAATCTATTAAAATTTAATACACATATGAAGAATTTACCCCACTTATATGCATGCAAAATTATTATTATTATTGTTGTTGTTGTTGTTATTATTGTTGTTGTTCCTCTGCCCTCCAGGGAAGCTACTTAGCTGGAACACTTCCAGCTGCTGGCAGATTTATCACGTGACAATGTCAGCACATGGAAATATGGATCCTATTATCCCAGTAAGGAAAATATATCAGCATCTGTCTCGAAGATGAAGGGTACAATTGCCTGTGTAATATCAGTTCCCCCAAGGACTCCAAACGCTGCCCTAAGGTTGCTGCTAAAGTTGTCCAGCATGTTTCTTGTCACTGAAAAGGCAAGGAATCATGGTACGTAAATTATGCATTAGCTTGAAAGAAATTAGAAATAAATGGAGATAGGAAAAGCGGAATTATGTGGACTGTTGCAGCCTTTTGACAAACATCTCAAATATTGTTAATCTCTTCCTAACTCAAGTTCTAAACTGATAAGATCCTGTCTGACAAGCAGTTTGTGTTCATCTGTCACAGTCAGAGATCAATGAAGACTTTATCCTGCAAGTGGAGTGCAAATAGAGTTTTGGGAGCTTAACTTACAGCAAATAAAAGAAAAAAGAAATTGAAACAGACTTCTTTCATGAATGATTGAGCTCCTCCTGCCGTTTCTCCTAAGTTCAGTATCATTAGCCAGCCAGTGTTTAGTCAAATTTCACCTACACAGTATACATCACAGTAGGGTACCCAATCCCCATTGACCAGATATATAAATAAGCAATAGGAAACTTGTTAAGGTGGCTACTGATAGACATTTCTTAAGTGCTAGCTGCTGAGATGTTAATTTTGTCATTTATTTTGTAGACATCTGATACAATGCTACCAATTGTCTGCACATTATACTGAAAAATTGGGAAAAATAATAAACGAAAAGAAAAGAAAAAAACTATTAACAGAAAGGACTTTATATTGGCTGCGTCTTTGGGTACCATTCGGTACTGTATCTTGTTGCATTACCTGGAGCGACTTCATCTCTTTAAACACTCCATCTGGAAGATCTTGGAGGTTATTGCTGTGGAGCATCAGGAGCTCTACTCTCCTTAACCCAACCAGAGATTTGTCATGAAGTCTGCTGATACTATTAAACCTGCAAAAGCAAAAAGGCATCATTGATATACTGAGGTACATATGTATTTTTCATCTTCATCAGGGCAACCACCAGAGACCTGTCAATAAGGCACAGAATGGTGCATCCTTGCAACAAGTTGTTCCAACTCTCAACCAATCGCAAGGACTGAGGATCAACGAACCCTTGGCCATGGTCTCCGTAATCTAGTTGAATTTAGTCAGTTTCTGTACTCTTGTTTCATTGAAAGTCTTGAATCACTCTTATCCTCACATCTCCCCTGAAGTCAGTTTGCCAAGGGAAATGAAACAAGCAACTAAATCACTGAACAACATTGCCTGCAGGCTTGTGGAGTTATTCAAACCTCTAACAATGAAATTGTTTGGAAGGTTCTGCATTTTAAAAGGAGTCAGTATTCCTTAGGGCAGATCCAGAGTACACTGAAGGTATGCTGAAGTAAAAACATCTTCCTGTAATTATACTGTTTCTTGTGTCCGGCATATAGAGTCTGCTTGCCAACAATATGTTTCTGCTATTCGGTCTAAAAAAAAAAAAAAAAAGCACATTGAGATACCTTTTAAAATATTAGAAAACTTTAGCTCAATAATTCCTTTGTCCAGGAAAGTCTGGCTCATTGCAGGCAAAAAGTGAAGAAATCCCTCAAGAGTTACATCTGGTTATGAGACCTTTTTCTAATTCTATTGCAGTACAAACTAAATTCAGTTCAGTTCAGCTCATGTATATTGCGCCGATTCGCAACAAATGTCGCCTCAGGAGACTTTACAAAAAAGTAAACACACATGCATGCCACTTTATCCTCGATATCAAACGGTACACTAAACTCAATGAATTATCCAAATTGGTTCAAAAAAGTTCTCTATCTAAGAAAACCCAGCAGATTGAGTCACTGACTAGCAGCATTCACTGCTATTCACTCTTAAATAGGAACTACTTATCTTGGCATGTGTTATGCATATCTTACGACTACTAAAAGATCAATTTTATATTGTATTATAGCTTTAAAACAAACTGCACTGTATTTTACTGCATCAGAAAACCATTGTGTTGGAGGGAATTCTAATAATTAAAAACTAAACTGTGAGTTCACATACCCTAAATTAATCCGTCTCGTATGCGCAGGCAGGCCAGGTGGGACGATGAGCAGTGATCGGAAGGTGCAGTGAACTTCATTGGCCTGGTAGCAGTTACAGCTCCTGGGGCAGGACTGGCCGCTGGACATCTCGAGTGTGAGCACCAGAAGTGCCAGCAGCGCCAGTGGTGCAGACCCAGTCTGATGCATCTTCACCCACGGGGAAAGAAGCTAAACAGAGATGATCACCGGCAACATGAAACAGGATGTCAAGTTTAGTGTAAACAGACAAGTGCACCACAACCTGCAGCTCAGATGGGAATCATTGTGTTTCTGTACACACACGCACATTTAAAAAGTTCAACACTTTACAACAAAAAAATCCAAAAGTGATTTATTGCTGTGCATCACACATTATACTGATTAACATAAAGACACAATAAAAGTGGAAAAATGTATGTATAGATATAGAAAGTTACCAGGAAAGTTAACTTGCAATAATGAAATTTATAAAAAAAAAAATGAAAGTTCATTTGAAGGAGAAGCTTTCAATTTACCCGTCAATATACATTTAAACCCTAATTGCTGGTCATGAGCTTTCGGTGGTGACCAAATAAAACAAGATCACGGATACGTTTGACCAAAAAGAGTTTTGTCTGAAGGGTGTCTGGGCTCTCTTTTCGAGGCAGGATGAGAGGAGGGAAAAGTCAACAGGGCGGGCCACCGCTCCTCCACATCGAGTGGAGCCAGTTAAGGTGGCCTGAGCATCTGATTAGGATGCCTCCTGGATGCCTCCTTGGTGAGATGTTCTGGGCACATCCCACCAGGAGGAGACTCAGAGGAAGACTCAGGACACGCTGGAGGGACTATGTTTCTCGGTTGGCCTTGGTTTTCCCTGGAAGAGCTGGCCTAATTGGCTGGGAGGGGAGAGTCTGGGTCATTCTGTTTAGCTACCTGACCTGACCCTAGAAAGGAGGTGACAGACCAACGGATGGACAGACAGACAGATGGATGGATGGAATTTTACTGACAGCATAGTTTACAAAGGAAACTTGTAAGACCAATCCCAGCCAGCATGCCTAGGTGGGCCCCATGTGAGGACAAGGAGGGCAGACTATATGGGTCCCATATGGGTTTGTCCGCGGGTTCCACGATGGCCCCACATGGGTTTGCCCATGTAGGGCCAGAGCCCACATGGGCCCTGCATGGGCCCTATATGGTGGTGGCCCACATGGGTTTTGTCCAATTAGGGCCCATGTAGCACCCATGTGGGCTGTGGCCCTACATGGGCAAACCCATGTGGGGCCATCGTGGAACCCGCGGACAAACCCATATGGGACCCATATAGTCTGCCCTCCTTGTCCCCACATGGGTCCCACCTAGGCATGCTGGCTGGGAATGCTGTAGGAATATCTCGTATTTAAATGTAGATCATTTCTAGACATCTAATTAAATCAAAAGTTTGTTTGATTTTATTGTTATCCTTTATCTTAGAAGGGTGAAGGTGGGGAGAATATTTTTAAGGCAAGAAAATGGTCATTCAATTTTACTTAACTGATAATCAGATATATTTTGCATGCTAAAAAAGAAACGTGTCTGTGGGGGGGCATTAAAACTGGCTTCAGCCCACGACTGCTCATCCTCCTGCATACGGCCCTTCATATAGGATTAGTAATGACAGATTAAAGTCACAAACTGTACAGGAGCAAGCTCAGTAATAAATCTGCAATAAATCATCTGGATTTTTTTTTTTTTATCATATATTGGAGTTTTGGACTTTGACAAATTAATTCATGATGCTAGATAGAGTTCATTTTATTGTCAGTCACTTACAGACGGAGAATGAGACATAAGAAGTCACAGAAACTTCGCTGCGCTTTCTTATCCAATCACACACAAGCGCTGAAATTTACACCACTTCAACGTAAACTGAACACACAACTGAGACTTTTCGTCTTGTTCAAATCTTACAAAGACATTTTTTTTAGAATATATTATGAATCCAAAGTGATAATAAAAAATAAAAAATAATAATAATAAAAACAAAAACATACCTTAAACTTTTCTGGTCCGGAGGCATAAATTATTGTAAGGAATTATTCATTTTCTACATCAAATGATGATTTCAATTCATCCGTGTACTTCGGCAAATTAATCCGCACTTTCCCACCTTCATTCATCCATTTGTCACCACAGTGTTCGCAAAGAATGCGGGGGAAATCCTGCAAATAAGCACTTTTTAAAACTTGAAAATTCCCACAAAACCACTCCTACCCCTCGGCAAAAAAAATCAAGCAGGTCTTCTTGTATGTGACGGGAGGAGAAAAGGAGCGCAGCACACGCGGCAGGCGGACAGCAATCGCGTCTGGTCCCTGTGTGCACGCGTTTTGTGTGGAGAACAATGTGTGTGTATTTGATCTTGGAAAGTGGGACAGGGCAGCAAGTGAAGAGAAAGACGCTCAGGCAGATGGGTCTATCCGAAGAGGGGCGGAAACTATGAAGTAATAAGTCACCGTGCTTCAAGCTGCTTCTTCTGCTGCACAGAAATTACATTTTTGAAATAAACTTTTTTTTTTTTTAATTTATAATCAAGTAGCCTACAAATATTAGATTTTATTATTCTGAGTTTTAAAAAAACGGGATATAGCTTCTTATTTTTGGTGAAAGTTTTATCTCCCACTTGCCTCTCTGTCGCTGATAGTGGCAGAGAGACAATTTGGACAGTCGCCAGGATTCACCAGGGTGTTCCTCCAGTGGTGACGAGTTGCCAGCCTTTCATGGGGAAACACAGAAACACACAATTTTTTCCTGGCCTTAAGAGAGAAATAGAGAGACTATGTTTCTCTCTGAATATGACATCACAGTCAGGTTTATGGACTGTGGGAGCTGGAGTACCAGAAGAGAACCCACATGAAAGGGGGCTGAACATGCAAGCTTGATGCAGAAAGAGCAAGCAGAGATTCAAATCCTGGACTTCCTGGCTGCAACGCAGCAGTGCTACCAGCTGTTCTGTTGTGCAGACCTTATTATTCTTTGTTATTTTAGTTTGAACACTTGATCCATGTTGGTACATCAACATATTGATTGGGTGGCTTTCAAAATATGTTGGCCTAATTAACATTTATCCTCTTAATTTTGGTGTTTGATAACTGAATCTTCTGGATTAGGAGCCAATATTGCCAACGATATCTCAGACAGAGATGGTCCAACATCTCTGATTCTCAGACATGCAGATCGGGACTTCTTAGAGGGGAAACCAGAAATAGACAGATGCTCCTCAGCTGTTATCTCCAGTAAGCGACCCCCGACACTCCCACACCTCGCCCCCCCCCGACTCCCAACTGTGTTGGAAGGCTTGTGACAGAGTGTGACTGATTCTAGACAGGGGCAGCTTTGCAAGACAATGTAGTGAGATGTTTCAGTTCACTTTATTTTCTTCTTTTGTATATTTAGTAGCAAAGGTCTTCAACTAATCTCATGCAGCAGCTACATCAAAGAACCGCAGCTTTAGGTGTGAGAATAAGGTCACCCAAATGAAGAGTTTTAAATTTTCTCATCAGCTGCCTCAGTAATGAATGGCTACATTAATCATGTATGACTGGCAATAGCCTGCAGCTCGGCAGTCGACAAGTGAACATCTGCAGACGTCTTAGCAAATGTGATTGGATGTTTTACAGTCACCAGCAACATTCTCTCTGATGTTTTTCAGTGCATGATCCAATCTTTGCCACCTTATCACCCTTGTCTCTGCAGGCAGCACTGTTCTGTGAACAGTTGTCAGAGCTGAACTCATCCCCCAAAGCTATATTACTGCGCCGGCTCACTTCATTACATTGCTCAATGTTATCGAAACATGGTGGACTGTAACAGATGAATTGCTGCTGGTCTGACTGGAAACAAGTAAGGAATGATGACATAATGTAATATCAATGGCTCATTGGGGAAGATGAATGAATGACTGGATGAAATGAGAAGGCATACTGTGACATATCGATGCCTTTCCCTTGTAGAACAATATACAGCTTTAAATAAATGTTATAGAGTCTACAAATGAATAAATGACATTCTTGCTTGCAGATACTTAAAGCCAAACATTTTTAAATTACTTTTAGTATATAATTAATTAAAATAAACCCTAAATCTAGCATGAAAATAACTCCAAATCATATTATTCTGTGCAGTGCAGAAGCATAGGGATCTCAGCATTTATGATTCAGTTTTGCCAATTTGCCAATTTTTTTTGTTTGTAATGCACCCTTTTCATCTACTGTCAAATTCATTTTTTTTGTGTGTTTTTTTTCTTTTTGTATTATTTTATTTTTTTAGTTGTGAACTCTCTTTTTAATTCTTTTATTTATGCAAATATGTATTCTGCAATAACTGGAATTGTAATATAACAAAAACTTTAAATTGTGACTTGCTAAAAGTAGTTCTACAGATTCAGGGACGCTGTTACATCTAAAAACAAACACAGTGATGTTTCGAGGTTTATTTACACACATGACTGGTTTGAGTGTAATGTGGATTTTGAAACTTTTAAATATCTATCTGAATGGTTCTGTTTTGAGAATGGAATGACACAATTTCAGTGATGAAGAAAATTAGAATTAGGTGAAATTTATTGGAGATTTTCTCATATCAACACAGATTAAAATTTTACATGCAGGTTCCATTATATAAATAATCTCTCACTAACATTTTTTTGTTTTTTTGTTGTTTTTTTTTTTTTTTCAAAAAAATTACCCAAAATAAAATCAAAACTGGTCTTTGAAAGGTTTACATTGGGCCTTCTGAATGGGATCACCAAAGCCCAATCCTCAACTTTGCTGAGAAAGAAAAATTCTGTTGTAAGAGTTGGGTCTCCCTCATCACTGCTATTTCTGCCACCCAGTAGTAAATGTGTAAAATTGATGCCTGAGTTTTGTTCCTGAAGCAGGGATTTTTTCCATAATGATGATGTCTTAAAGGTGGCCTTCCTAGCAAAGTAGGTTATCTGTGCCAGAATAGTTTAATCTTCAATCACTGCTGCCAGCGGCTTTTGCATGCTTTGCTGATAGCAACCTTGACTATAATTCTTGTTTTTTTTAGTGTGAAGTGGTGTAAATATCAGCTCATCCAATAATGGATGAACACTCAACAGATTTGTCTTTCAGCCCACCTGTACTCTAAGAAATCAGTAGCATTTCGGCTCAAAACTGATAAATTACTTTCTCTAACTCAGGTTACATTTTTGGTTGCAGTGTCAGATTTCAGTGAGAGATAAATG